CTAGAGTGCTGTTTAGGACATCTGCCATTTTATGGGTCTGCTGTGTATCATTGTTAAATCAACAACAGGAGTCACTGTGCACCTGCTCCCTATGTAGGACCTCTGTCCTTAATGAGTTGTACTATGAGAATTAATGGAAAAACTAGTCTTCAAAAAGTACTTTATACTTTATATGTCTATGTGGGTGCAAAATGTTGAAATCTTTATTTAGTATAGAGTTGATCTTTTGTATATAAAGATAATTAAAAATCAATCTTAATGAAGAAGGGGATGGGAGAAGTAGGAAGTGGGATGGGAGTGGGGGTGGGAGAGTGGGTACAGGGGGAAGAACCACTGTACTCCAAAAACTGTACCTATGGAATTTATATTTATTAAATAAAAGTCTTCAAAAAAATCTTTAAAAAATAAAATAAAATTTATTGCCTGCCAAGAGTCACATCTTCAACTGCATAAACAGAGTCAGAGTAGTTAGGCTAAAAGAACTCTAGAATCTTCTATTAATCAGTTACACATAGAGAAAAGAATACCTTACAATACCATGCTGTTTATCCATTCCTCCTTAGGGTACTGATTCTCTCTTGTTTCCAGATGCATCTTCACTATAAGGAAGGGCAAATGTAATTTAGTAGAGGAAACAAAGAACAATAGTCTACTTGTAAAATTTGATCAGAGGACATTTCCAATAAAATAAGTGACATTGTCACATAAGTTCAAATATGACAATTGACTATATGAACTTCATTTGTATTTCAGTGGTATACTGCCAGTAACTAAACCCCTTCATGAAGATCACATCTTGTTTATTTATATTAGAGAGAGAGAGAGAAAGAGAGAGAGACAGACAGACACAGCCCTTATCTGCTAGGTCACTTCCCAAATCCTTGCAACAGCCAGGATTGGGTTGAGTTGAAGCTAGGAGCTTAGGAACTCAATTCGGGTCTCCTGTATGTGTGGCAAACAAACCTAACTGCTTGATATCACCGTTGTTTCCCAGGATTTACATAGGCAGGAAGCTGGAACTGGGAGCCAGAGATGGGACTCAAATCCAGGCCTTCTGATACAGAATGTGGGTAATTAACCAGAATCTTTACCACTGGGCCAAATGCCTACCTCAGTCACAACTTTTAATATATCAGTAACACTTACCTATATCACCTTACCCAAAAACAGATAAAGCACTGTTCTAGATATATAGTCTACCTGGCATCTTTCTTTATTCTGTGATTATCAGCCCATTATTTTGGGGACCTGGTCTTCCAGGTGTTTCCAATCACAGGACCCCACACCCCGGCCACAGAAATTTATAACCTCTGAGGCAGGCCAGTCCGAGTGGTTCCTCAAGACTTCCAGGTTTGAGTCTATGGTACAGGGGGTGTCGTCCCTCTGGACTTTAGAGCTGCTGGCTGTCACATTTCCAGCCACATGGAGAAAACTGGAGAATGAAATCAATACACAGAGAACAGGCAAGAGGACAAGGAGAATTCTATTATCACTCTTCTATGGAGCTTGCTACACCCTTACCTTTCTCCCTGGAGGATTACATGAGTCACTGCATTCTTTTTTGGCCAACAGATTTCTGTCGTTTCTAGCTAAGAATCTTGGGTAAAACAGAGGTTGGTATTAGAGTTTTTTGGTTTGTTTTCAACATCTAAAGTATTATCTGTAAACACAGGCAGAAAAGTCCACTGGAAGAAATACCTTGAGGCACCATTTTCCAAAAGAGCAAAGTCTAGGACATCAGGTTAAAGAAGAAAGGCCTTAAGGTTAAACACTGAGGGAGATCTTACCATATGAATTATGTACAAAAGCCTCATCCACTCTATACCGCAAAGGTAACTACAAACTAAGTATCTCTCACTGAACTATATTATAGAAAGAATGACATAAAGATCATTGAGTGCTCTGAGCAATTTGGATTCTTTGAATCTAGCGTGTATGATACATGACACTTAAGGACCGTGAGTTCCATCTTTCATATCCTTGATGCTCCATTTCTTTTTCTATAAAATGGGGGTGGTAATACCTTTGTGAGAGGATACTGGCAGAATTGGAAATCACGTAGACCTGTAAAACTGGGAGATCAGGATTCAACACAAGGTGATTTTATCAAAAAAGAAAGGATTGCTCACTACCCAGGCATCACTGGCAGGAGTTGAAGGGCTTACATTTTGAAAAGTGGGGTTGTGTGGGGAAGGTTTTCTGCAGAGGTCCTGTAAGTCCGTCCTGAGGGAAGAGATAGCAGAGCTAAGGCCAGTGAGAGATGGTATGGTAGTTGGTCCCTGCTGCAACACAATGGACTAGCTCCTATGGGAAAAGCAGCAAGGATTTTGAGTGTCGGCAACAAAGCGCTATTGCAGCAACCAGTCCCACAGTTTGAGGACTTCTAAACAGGGGAGCGTTCTCCTGTAGAACAGCAACGGCACAAACTGTGCAGGCTCAACTGAGGCCTGGCAGCAGCTGAGCTCAGGAGTGTGGACTTGTTTGTGAATCCCTGAGACTTCCCAAAATACTTTGGGATAGGACAGAGATTTTTGTATGATGTGACAGAGTTCTCAGTCAGCAAAATGTGGGTGTAAATACTGTGACTTTATTCATAAGAGAAATCAAATTTCTTAAATCTTTTTACTTATTTGAAAGACAAAAAGGGTGAAGGGAATGGAGAGGCAGCTTCCATCCGTTGGTTCACCTGCAAATGCCTGAAGCAGCTAGGGCTGGGCCAGGATGAAAGCAGGAGCCTGGAACTCAATCCAGATTCCCACATGGGTAGCAGGGACCCAAGTATTAGAGCCATCACCACTGCCTCCTAAGAAGGTAGAATCAGAGACAGCTGGGGCACTGGCATTTGGTGTAGCAGATTAATCTGCTGCCTGTGAGGCTAGCATCCCATGAGCGCCAGTTTGAGTCCTGACTGCTCCCCTTCCCACCTAGCTAATGTACCTGGGAAGGGAGAAGATGGCCCAAGTGCTTCACCCCCTGCAACCAATGTGGGATACCCAGATGGGGGTTCCAGGCTCCTGGCTTCAGCCTGGCCCAGTGCCAGCCACTGAGGCCACATCAGGAGTGAACCAGCATATGGAAGCTCTCTCTGTGTCTCTGTAACTCTGCTTTCAAATAAACAAATCTTTTTTTTTTTTTTTTTTTTTTAAAGCAGCAATACAGCTGGAACACAAACCTGGGTATTCTGAAATGTGATACAGGTGTCTGACGTGGTATCATAAATGAATGTTGATTCTTGACTTGATTATTTAACCATATTTGGTGTATGAGCCCAACACATGGCTTTACTCTTATCCTGAGATACTGCACTATAGAATTCTAGCCACACCGTTCAGACAGACCAGGTAGATGTTACAGAGATTTGAGGATGAGGTTACATGATTTCCTCTGTTTTGGTTAAAAGTAACATTAATTTAGAGTAATTGAACTTGCTAAGAGTTAAACAGCTCACTGACTTAGAAATGCCCTCCCCTTATTCCATCAAGAAGCTAAAACAGTTAAGCACTATAAACTGTCCCAAGGCTACCTTTAAACATCAAATTTTCAGGTAAATATTAATCTGTATTGACTGACCTCACCTACATTTTATATTTTCTGAGAAAAACAAAAGTATTCAGTATGTTTTAACTGCTTTTGTGCTGCGCAGGTCTAATAGTTTTGCTATCAAACGTATAATGAATGACCAAAAAATCCAATGTATATAAACTTCATTGGACAGGAACTATTACTAAATATTCATTCCAAGTGGGATTTAAAAAGTTCATAAATTTATTAACCAACTAATCAAAATATTATAGTGAAGAAAACCAAATAGGTTAGCAAGTCTGATTTTTTTCCAACAAAAAAAATTTTAAAAAGATTTTTATTTGAAATACAAAGTTGGGAGGCATAGGAAAAAGCGGGAGAGAGGGAGATAGGGAGGGGGGAGGAAGAGAGGCAGGAGAGAGACAGAGGGTGGGGGAGAGAGAGAATGAATAAATGAATGAATGAATCTTCCATTTTCTGGTTCCCTCACCAAATGCCTATAACTGAAGCTGAGAGCCAGGAACTCTATCGGGTTCTCCAATGTGGGTGGCAGGGGCCCAAGTACTTGGGCCAATTTCTGCTGCCCTCCCAGGCACACCAGCAGGGAACTGGGTGAGAACGGAGCAGATGGGACTCAAACTGGTGCTCATATGGGATGCCAGTGTTGTTAAGCAGTGGCTTTAGCTACTATGCCACTACACGAGTCCCTTCAAGGAAAATTTCGACTTATTCATCAATTCTTTATTTTTGCCTTGTATACTATCACCTACATTTAATCTTTGTGCCCGTCACCACTCTGAAGTTCTACCTGAATTACAGTGTCACCGGGAGATTCCCACTTGGGTGCTAAGAATCCACCCTTCTATGGGGTTTCCTAACATCTGGCTTAGGAGCCCTGTGTTTAGGAAGCCCCACCTGGATGTCCGAGGCCTCAGGAGCACTGAAGCCCCACCAGCCGCACAGGTAGATTGGTCACAGAAGTTCCTTCCCTCTTGGACTCCTTGAAGTTTACCAGTTTTTAGCAAGAGCTAAAGAGATTTCTATTATGGCAACCTATCAGGTGAGTGCCGTGTTTGAATGGTTTTCATTGATTTTTCATTTTTCTTTTTCTTTTACTCATTAAAGGTTGGATACATGAGAGTGTACATTGTTCATTAGCTGCTGTTTTCAGTGCAGCTTGAGTAATAACCATAAAAGCTGAGCAAAAGCAGGTAATTGCATTACAGGGCAATTATGAAGAGTCAAGGCCATTTTAGAAATTCATAAAATAGTCTGGTACACTAAGTGTTAACCATGACTTTCAATTCTTTTGAAATCCACTTTGTATTGTGCTGGCCTCTAGTAAGACTTCCAAATGTGACCAGTCTTAGATTTTCTCTAGAAACGAGGATACAGCATTAGAATTAAAGCAAGCATTTTAAGGTACATGATCTCTTCTCTCTTCCTCAGCTTTCCATGCTCCTGACTGATGAGAGCCACCATCCCAGGGCCACCATAGCAGGGCTTAGGGAGAGGAAGACATGGAAATCAGTAACATGAAACAGGTAGCACAGAAACACTGCCCAACTGCCTAATCTTGTCATACATACCTAACCTCCTTTGCATTTTCAAGTATGACTGACAAAGCACCATAAAGGAATTGTGGAAAGTATAAACACAAAAATGATTTTTTTAAATATTAAAATGCTATCAACTTTTTATATATATATATAAAATTATTGTACAGGAAAAATTTTATTAGTCTCTGCTTTTAAAAGCCTTCAACAACAAATCTGCTGCTAGCCCTGGGGCCAGGGCCCCACGGAGGACCTTTTGTTCCAGAACAGGAATCTGCTCCCGGACTGTGGGGTGACTCCTGAAATGCTCTAACACGTTTTCCTGAATGAGGTTCCACATCCAGACTTTCTGTTGCTTTTGTCGTCTGGCAATCAGCTCCCCGCTGGCAAGTGTTAGGTCCCAGAATTCTTTCATCTTATCCCACATTTCAGTGATCCCCTCTCCACTTCTGGCAGAAATACGAACCACCTATGGAGAAGGGAAGAACCACGACTGTTTTACTTCAAATGACAAAACATTCTCATGGAAAGCTGATATTTACCACTAAGTTTTATAGTCTATAAAAATAGGCATGTGGCAAAACCAAGATTTTTATCTCTGTGTCAAAGTGAACATATCGACATATATACTGAGGTAATGTACCTAGAATTGTCTAGCACACAGAAGAAACAAGATTGATTCAAGGTCAAATTGTTTAGCTCAGAAACTGAACTATTTTTAATGAAATCATGATTTATTTATTTGAGAGACAGAGAGGACAAGCAGACCAGGATCTCTCATCTGCTGGTTCATTCCCCAAACGCTCATAATGGCTGGGACAGGATCAGGCTAAAGCCAGGAGCCCCAGAACTCAATCCAAGTCTCCCATGTCGGTGGCAAAGACCCAACTACTTCAGCCCTCACCTGCTGTTTCCTAGGGTGAACAGCAGCAGGAAGCTGGAATCGGGAACAGAAGGAGAAATCAAACACAGGTACTCCAAATGGGATGTGGGCATCTCAAGTGGCATCGCAATTGCTGTGCCAAATGCTCAGCCCCCAAAGATTGATTGAATTTAGGATTGTGCAGCTGGTCAGTGGCATCGTGGAGCACGAGAGGGCAATGTTGGGGAAAGGCCAGAGGCCGGAGTGCCAGAAAGTGAAGCTGACATGGGAACTTAGTCCTATTCCTTCTGTTAGACTTGCTTGAATGAGCGAGTGCTGTAAGCTAAACGTCTGGCCCCTACACGGGGAAGATAGCTCCAGACCCTACACAAACATGATGGAGGACAACAGGTGAGTGCCCATAAGATAAATCAGCATCATTCCCACGGCAATGCCCACAGCTCACTCTTTAATAATGCGATGTCCTCCCACAGATCAAGCTGCCTGCAGCCACATTATCTATCACTTACACAAGAGTTCTCCTTTTCAAGTTTTTTCCTAACTGAAAAAAGCACTCGGCAAGCATATTGGAAGTATCGTACCACAAGCCTTTACTCCTTTACTCCAGTTCCACTGCAGATAATGAGATCATTAATTGCTCCATAATTTTAAGGATGGTTCTTTTCAGAATGGATTTGCAATCACTTCCAAAAGGTTCATATCAAGCATTAAGCAATCTAATCTGTCATCTCACATTTTAGTTTTGACATCCAGTGGTTGCAGGGTTATATTTAAAATCATGACTACATACGGTGGCTTGTCATCATTTTTAAAAATGCAACCTCCACACACAAACAGAGATTGATTATGTGTCTAGCTTGGGACTTACATCCTCTCTCCTAACGCACACGGTCCGTCCAGGGTGAAAAATGGAGCATGGGATGCACACTCACCTTTGGTCTCCAGACTGCCGAGCGCCTGCGGAGTAACTTCAGTGCGCTCACATACTCTGCCTGTATCCTTCGAGCTGGCGCAATCAAGTCTCCATCAGACTTAGTTATTGCTACCATGTCTGCCATCTCAATTATACCTCTTTTGATACCCTGCAGACAACAAGAGAGACATGGATTTATCAGAAACATCTAATTGAGAACTGAGTCACAACCAACATAAAAATGGGACAGCCAGTTAAGGCTCAGATCTTGAAAGCCATAACCTTCATTAGTTAACTTTTGTTCTGCATCTTTCTAAGTCCTGGGTGCCAGCAATCACAATTATTTGACAGAAATGACAGGAAAGCACTGGCTGTTGAGATTCTGGAAGGCATCCATAATCTGTCTCCCAAAGTTAAGAGACAAACGTGTTGATATCCATTCAGAATTGGAGTAAATATATCACCAAGACACAGCATGACTGAGTGGCAGGAGGCCGTTCACATCATCTCAGGATGGATCCTGCTTCTCACGGGCTAACACTGCAGGATACAAAACCATCCATCATTTGGGTGCTTAAGAAGAAAATACACATATCAGTAACATCTGCATTTCTAGAAATGAAGTCCTCAAAATTTCTCTTAAATTTGGAGCATTTTTTTCAACATGAATTGAGAAAAAATAACATGATGGCTAAAAAATGCGCCACGCCTTGATTTAAATTACATTGCATTAAAATGTTAAAAATAAAAGATGAAATCCAAATGCTAAAGCTTATTTGGGAAATGTATTTTTCATCTAGGATTAAATTTCTTTTCTAATATTCTTAGATGTTACTTTAATTACTAAATTCTTACAGTTAATGTTTCCATATCACAGCATCCACAGCAGACTATGGTCTGCTGGCACTATTTTCTAGAATTATAAAATTGAAAGTGTTACATAAAAAGAATTTGGTCCTGTTCTTGGAAGGTAATTGCTAATTCCTAGGAACTTCCTGAATGATAAGCATGTATTTATTACTCATTGGTGGTTGCCTGGGATCATACCCAAATTCATGTAAGGAGATCACTCCGGATAGGCCCCAAATCCACCACACCAGAAAGATCCCCATATGTGATGCAGGTTGGGGACCTGCGGTACCTACATCAGTGCAACCTTTGGGGGAGATGTGTGTGGGAGCTAGAGATCCAGCATGATTACTTGGCCAATGATTGCAGCTGGAATTTTAAGTAAAGAGTGGCTCAAGACAGACTATGCCCTCAACCTATAAAATCTGCACCAACTCCCAGGGGCACTGCCACAACTGTATTATAGGATGAGAGGTAAAAATCCTTCCCCACAACATGAAAGCTATGAGGGTGGATCCCAGTTAAAAACAAAGAGGCACATTATAAAGAACTTTTGAGTCAGGTGTACTACAAACACCGAGCAGCAGTGGCTTCCCGGCTAAAGCTATCACATACTCCAGTCATTTCCACTCTACAAGTGGAAAAATGTAAGTTGTATCATTAGCTCAAGGTCACATATTCTATTACTCTTAAACTGGGGGAAAAAAGACATGTAGAGAATCTGCCTTTGACTAAGGCATTTTAGCTAATGTGAATGATGCTTCTTCATCAATACCATTATCAACCCAATTTTCAAAAACACATCAGAAGTTTGTACTTTTAGAAATATATACTGGCAGGCACCGTGGCTCACTAGGCTAATCCTCCACCTTGCAGTGCCGGCACACCGGGTTCTAGTCGCGGTTGGGGCGCTGGATTCTGTCCCGGTTGCCCCTCTTCCAGGCCAGCTCTCTGCTGTGGCCACGGAGTGCAGTGGAGGATGGCCCAAGTGCTTGGGCCCTGCACCCCATGGGAGACCAGGATAAGTACCTGGCTCCTGCCATCGGATCAGCACAGTGTGCCGGCCGCAGCACGCCAGCCACGGTGGCCATTGGAGGGTGAACCAACGGCAAAGGAAGACCTTTCTCTCTCTCTCACTGTCCACTCTGCCTGTCAAAAAAAAAAAAAAAAAAAAAAAAAGAAATATATACTTTGTATTTGGGGGAGAGAGGATGAATATAATTACCTGCAATTCATCTCCTCCAGCTGGTGGCAGTAGTAAAACAAACATGTCCACCATGTCAGCAACAGCAAACTCTGACTGACCCACACCTGAAAATTTAAATCACAACTCAAGTATCCTCAGGTATTCAGTTATTAGACTTCCTTAATGACCATCATTTCTATCCCACTTCATTCACTCATATTCATGGCCACAGACTCAACTTGGCATCCCTTTAGACACTCCATATCTTAGCCAATTTTCTGCTGCCTCAACAAAGTACTTGAGAGAGCAGGTAATTATAAAGAACAGAAATGCTTTTGGCTCAAAGTTTCAGAGGTCAGGAGGAGGACGGTACCAGCATCTGCTTCGGATCCAGTGTTGGCCTGCTTGCTGCATCACAACCATCAGAACACGGCAGAAGGCATCGCAGGACAACAAAGCGAGTGCGCTAGCTCAGGTCTCCTTCTTCTTCCCCTCACAGGGGCCCCGTCCTCACGACTTCACCTAACCCCAACTACCTCCCAAGGCTGAACGTCCAAATACCATTAACATGTGACTCTGGGGGTCAAGTTTCTAACATGTACCACCCCTCTGGGGCGGGGATGTATCACAGGTCACTATCTTTTCCTCCCAGAAAACTGGTTTTCCTTCCAGCTCTCTCCCTCCACATTCCCATTAGAAATGTTCTCTAACTGAGGGATCTCCACTCTCTCCTAGCTCTCTCTTGGCTTCCTTTCAGTGAGTACCATGGACACGTGACTTATCTTAACCCATGTCTGACAATACTTTCATCTCTTATGCTTTCTCATCCTTATGCCGACCCTGCAAACCCCCCAATCTGGACCAATCCAACTCTGTGTGTTATCTCCTCTCTGAGCATGCAGGACACATCACTCTACTGTGTGGATGGGAGCCACTACAGGTCATGGTGGTCCAGCTTCTGCTACATCTTCCTCACTGCCTAGTACAGACAAGGCCCTCAATCAGCTTTATGTCCTGCTCCCCACAGCAGCTATCACATTCACTCTTGGGGTTGGTGCTGTGGTGCAGCAGGTAAAGCTGTTGCCTGCAGTGCCAGAATCTCATATGGGTGCTGGTTCAAGTCCCAGGTGCTCCACTTCCGATCTAGCTCTTTGCTGTGGCTTGGGAAAGCAGTAGAAGATGGCTCAAGTCCTTGGGTCCCTGCATCCACACAGGAGACGCTGAGGGAGCTCTTGGCTCCTGGCTTCAGACCGGCACAGCTCCAGCCATTGTGGCCATTTGGGGAGTGAGCCAGCAAATGGAAGACACCCCTCCCCGCTGCCACCTCTCTGTAACTCTACCTTTCCAATAAATAAATAAATAAATAAATCTTAAAAAAAAAATTCACTCTTCCATATTCCCCCCCGACATGATGGCGACCAGCAACTACTCATGAAGAGGTAAAGGCAGGAGTTTCCTGAGCTTCTCCCTCGCTCCTTCCATGGACCCAGCCTCAGTGCTCCCTGCAGTCTCAGGGCAGGAAGCATGGGCAAGGATGACGCTCTCATCCTTTTCCACTTCCTTTGGCCTTCGCTCCTCTGTATCTTTAACCCTCCTCTGTCCACAGGCCCTCGACCCTCAGCACACCATATACACTGTGCTCAAGTCTTTCTCATCTTACAACGAAGGAAAAAAAAAATGACCAAAACTCACAACCTCCTCTTACTATTACCAAATTTCTCACTTTCTCTTTATCGTCAAGTGTGTGGAAAAAGTCATCCATGTTCACTGCCTCCCACTTCCCTGCTCCACATTAATCTCAAGCCACTTACAACTGGCTTCCACATCCCCTGCTCCAGGCAAACTCTCTCCTTCAGTGGTGGTATAGACTTCTAGTTGACAATTCAAAATCTATTCTTCCCATTTCCTTACCCCAGTGCTATCAGTGTATCAGGAGAAAGAGCACATTCACAAGGCCCCCCTGTAGCTAGAGATGAGCACTGAGTGAAAGCAGTCATCACAGAGAGCGTCCAGAACATTCCCATGAACAGGCTGATGTCTGCCTGCTCCTCCTGGCTTCCTTACTCTCTTCTACCTGCCTTCTACTTGCAACACAGATGTGTCAGAGAAACATCAGCTATCTTTTTTTTTTATATTTATTTATTTGAAAGAGAAAGTTAAAGAGGAGGAGGAGGAGGAGGAGGGGAGAGAAAGAGAGAGAAATCATCCGTCTACTGGCTCACCCCCAAAATGGCCACAATGCCCAGGGCTGGGCCAGGCTGAAACAAGGAGCCAGGAGCTTCATCCAGGTCTCCCACGTGGGTGGCAGGGGCCCAAGGACTTGGGCCTCCTTTCACTGCTTTTCCCAGGCCATTAGCAGGGAGTTGGATCAGAAGTGCAGCAGCTGGAACGTGAACTGCTACCATATGGGATGCAGGTGTTGCAGGAGGCAGCTTAACTCACTACACCATAGTGCGGGCCCCATCAGCCATATTTTAACAATGCACAACCTTGATGGGCGGAAACTAAGCACTAAGAATGGAGAGCAGCCTGGGAAAAAAGGGCACTGTAGAACCACCACACTGGGGCCGGCGCTGTGACATAGCAGGTACAGCCACCACCTGCAGTGCCAGCATCCCATATGGGTGCCAGTTTGAGTCCTGGTTGCTCCACTTCCGATCCAGCTCTCTGCTATGGCCTGGGAAAGCAGTAGAAGATGGCCCAAGTGCCTGGGCCCCTGCACCCACATAGGAGACCTGGAAGAAGCTCCTGGTTTCAGATCAGCACAGCTTCAGCCATTGTAGCCAACTGGGGAGTGAACCAGCGGATGGAAGAGCTCTCCCCCTCTCTGCGCCTCTCCTTCTCTCTCTGTGTAACTCTGTCTTTCAAATAAATGAAATAAATGTTTAAAAAAAAAAAAAAGAACCAACTGCCTGCATCTGGGCTTCTTTTATTTATAATAACCTCTTTTTTGTTCGAGTCTCTGGTGTAAGTAGCTAAATACATCCTTCAGGTAATACACTTGGTTTTCATGGCACTTCCATCCTCTGAGGCTCCTACTTCCACTCAGGCAGCTGTCCCGCCATCCACTCTCAGTGCTGGGGTTCCTAAAGCCCAGTGTTGGCTACTGTACTACACTATAGTGTTGGCTAACTATACTATAGTCAGACTGAACTATACCCACAAAGTCCTGTGCTGAAGCCCAACCCTCACTGTGACTTCATTTACAGACAGGGCCTTTCACAAAGTGATTAAGGGTAACTGCGGTCATAGGAGTGAAGCCTGAATCCAAGAGGACTGCATCTTTAGAGGAGAATGAGGAAGAGCATGCGGGGGGGGGGGGGGGGGTACAAGCCCAGAGGAGGCCACGGGAAGACAGGGTGAGGAGATGACCACCAGCAATTCAAGGGGAGAGGTCTTACAAGAATTCCTGCCTGTGCCATGACCTTAGACCTCCAGATCTTTGGGGAGACAAAGTTCTACTGTTTAAGCCACCCAGCCTTGATGCTAGGGTAGAGCAGCGCTAGCAAATGAATGCAGCTGTCTCCTATTTTTGCCCTGTGTTTTCCTAAAAGTATGAAACTACGAACGGTGGGGGTAACTGCCAAATCTCCACTTCTTACTCAGTCCTCTCCTGGAACACAGTCACTCGGACACCTAATAAGCACCTTACGCCTCGTAGATTCAGAACTGAACTCTTTATTTCCCCCCGTGCATAACCACCTTTTCCATGGAATTCTCTATCACCTCCTCCTCCTCTTCCTTTCTTACCTCTTCTATCTAAGCATGGATCAACTCTCACCAATTTACCCTCAGTGTTTTCTTAATCCATTTCCACTTCCTGTGCAGTCCAGGTCCCACCATCTCCTGGGGTTGGTAGCAGTCTCAGCTGCCTCCCTGACTCTAGCTCTGCTTTGCTGCGGGGGCCTTTCCTAACAGTCTACCTGGCTTCCTCACTCTCCTGCTCCTCCTGCAGCGGCTTCAGCTCCTTTCAGGAAAAACTCCAAACTCCTTATCCTGGTGTACCATACGGGTCCTTGACAACCTGATGCTGCCTGTTGCTTTGGGTCGTCTCTCTTCATTTCCTGCCTTCACACTGTGCTCTAAGCACGCTAAGAAAACTGCACCTCCCTCACTGGATCACACCTTCTTGCTGCTGTGTGTCTTTGCAAATGCCCTTCACCCTGTTTTTGCTTCTTCCTTCAAAACTGAGTTCAGCTATCCCCTTTTCTAGGAAGTCTTCACTGATTGCCCCAAATTTGAGTGAGATTGTGTCACAAACACTTAGCACACAGGAATATAATAAATTACTGCTCTACAAGGAGGTCAATTTCTTATGGTTTTCATTTTAGTATCTTCACAGCTATGTGCCAAGGATATAAGAATGAAAAAACAAAGCCCTGTATTCAAAAAATTCAACTATATTAACCCTTTTAGCAAATACTGTAGACCTAAGAAACATACTTCAGATATGTTAACAGGTGTGTTAAAGTACTGCTTACCTGAGTAAAACTAATGGTTACAGCTCTCCTCTGGCACATACAACACAATACTCTATTTAACACTAGAGTGGATACATGGCTTATTTTCAGCCTTGAATTCGTAAGTTCTTTGAGGATAGGATAATAGCCTACAAATACTATTATATCCCACGGAGTCTGGGGTAGTATCTTGCATTAATTAACACCTGATGAACGAGCAAACTGAAATTAGTTGTCACTCATCTTTGTATATAGCATTCATATAATATTAATTTTATGAAACAGAGGATCACACTCACCTACAGTTTCAACAAGAATGATGTCATAGCCTCCTCCTTCACACAACAGAATAGCTTCATTTGTAGTCCTTGTCACACCTCCTAAAGTGCCTCTAGTAGGAGACGGCCTGATGTATGCATTCATATCTCTTGATAACTCAGTCATTCGCGTTTTATCACCTAAGAGTGATCCTGTAACACAAGGGCACAGTTTATAATCATGGAACAGTTGTAAGGGCCAATTACCCATCAGCCAGTCCCTAGGGGAAATGCTTTTTTCCCTCACATCTCATTTTTCTCACAATCTTAAACTGTCTTTCCTATTGCTGAGCTTTCCTCCAATTCACTGTACATAATGATGCTGTTAATATATGAACACCAGGAGCCCCTTAAAATCTTTTATAGAGGCTTCATGCTGACCAATGGCTTCACACTTAGCTCCACTAGCCTAGCACTGCACGCCCTCAGAACCCAGCCCTGACTTACTGTCCGATTCTGCCTCTCAGCATTGCAGCCATCTCGGCCCCAGCCAGCATGGCCTCACGGCCGCCACACTGCAACCATCTCGGCCCCGGCCAGCATGGCCTCGTGGCCGCCACACTGCAGCCATCTCGGCCCCGGCCAGCATGGCCTCGTGGCCGCCACACTGCAGCCATCTCGGCCCCGGCCAGCATGGCCTCGCGGCCGCCACGTCAACACTACCATGTTTATTCCTCCTTCCTGTGCTTGTGCTTTCATGCCCGAGGCCCTCTCCTGCCTTCCCACTGCTGCTTTATCCACACCAGCCCCAGGGTCTGCACCCTGGTTACACCATTCTTTGCTACCCAGTTTTGGAAAGTCACCTGACCTTCCTGAACCCCTATCCTCAGCTACATAACAAGCATAAGAAGCCACTGGGAGAAATCAGATGTAATTATAAATAGTGCTTCCAAAACAGAAACATGGAACTTAACCGACTGCCTTACAAACACCAGTCAAAGTCCTTGCTCCTTCGTCCATCTTCCTCCCAAGCTTACCTGTGTGAGCTTCCCCAGTACTACCTCTCTGCAGTCTGCGCCAGCATCTGGAGGGCACAGAGGCCTTCAGTGCCCCTCCCCTTTCCATGATCTCCATGAGCAGTGCCTCCCCCACCCAAGCTTTCGTTGGTACAAATGGCAGAATGGAACTTTTACTACACTATTTCAGTAAACATCAATACTTGCAAATTCTGGATGAACAAAAGACCTAGCTACTTGTGGGGAGCAACTCGGACTAGACTAAGTTACTGGAATTAAGACTTATTCTATGCATCTGCTCTCCCACAATATGGCGCTGGGAGAGGAGTAAACAACTTCTACACAGCTGCCTCTCGCCAATTTGACTGATGAGCTGCAGGAGCTGATCTTGCTCCTGATTGGAGGAGAGCAGCGTGCTCGGTGTGTGGGTAGCCGAGTTGGGATCAGTGGAAGAGGACTATAAAGGAGGAGAGAGACAACATGCACCAGGAACATTCGGATAACACCTGAGCAGCCCCCGAGAGAGCTGGCCGGCGGTGGCAGGGGGAACCGCCCAGCCAACCCGGGAGGGACCAGCAGCAAACCCGGGAAGGGCCGAGCAGACAAAAGAACAGCGCAGGGTCCTGTGTCGTTCCTCCACAAATGGGGGAGCGACAGCTAATGTTACCTTTTTTTCCTTTTCTTTACCCATATAGCACTATCTGAAGGTACTGTACTGTTCTAACCTGAATATTTATCATCATTCTGCCTAAGGGCCAGTTTTTCCACATCAAATTAATGCTAAAGATTGAGAAGTTCCTTAAAGATATGCTCCTTTCTCTAATGACCTCAGCTTCTCATTCTCATTAGTTCTAATTCTAGAGCATACACCCACCACATATCTTAACCACCTAACTTCACATAACGCCTCTTTCTCATGTCATTTTCTGCATGAAGTCATCTCAGTGTTAGTCAACAACCTGCCAAAGCTAGACTTTAAATGATTATCCTATGGATCCTCTCACCATGAACTAAACATTATGAAATTACTCTCCCATGTAATTGTGCCAGCAAAGCCAAAAAGGTGAGTTGCAGACCCTGCAGGAGGTCTCAAACCACGCATGGGTTCTGTGAAGTCAAAGCACACAGACTGACTACAGACCCAAAAGGGAATCTTCTCCAACTTTAACAGCATGCTGTTTTTCAGATATAGGTAGCACTGCAGTAAGGTACACATTTATATATGCACAGTGTCTTGTTTATCCTCATGTACTTTTTCTTCCAAATATTTTTCACCTGAGAAAAAGATCCTCATTACTTGTTTAAGTTAGGAACCACGTAGCTTATGCAACTTTAATCACAGACTATTTTATGACATCATTTCTGCTATCATTATCTCAAGCTATTTTTCCTTTTTCTATTGCAAGTATTCTGTAATATTATGAAGACAGAGGAGAAAAGGCCTTCTCAACTATATGAAACTGTAGGCCACTCATCAAAAATTCCCTCATTAAAGTACTTACTTTTTTTTTTCTTTTATTATGTACGTTTTTATTTTTCTCCAGTATTTCCTCAATCTGCATACATAGGCAAAAGTATGCTGTTTGACATTGGACTGCAAACTTTATCACTGCCTGGAAAAGGAACAATTGGCCCTAACACATGCTTAACCAGGGGGCCAGTTCATCTGCCGACCCCCAAGAACGTGGAGATGAACATGATACATGGACTGTCCACCATCGGAGCCCTTGTTTACCACCATTCGGTAACCCTTCTTTAGGCCCAGGTCAGCAGCACATTTCTTGCCAACAATCATTAAATGTCCAAGAAGACTTTCATCAGCATCCTCTGCTGCAGAAATCTGGGATATATGTTTCTTAGGTATCACCAGAAAATGTGTTGGTGCTTGAGGGGAAATGTAATAGAAAGCAAGACACTGGTCATCCTCGAAAATGATTTTGGCTGGGATTTCCTTGCGGATGATCTTCCCGAAGATCGTGTCGCCACCAGGCCGGGCGACCTGAGCCTTGGCGATCTCATCTGCCATCTGGGGCTGCCTCCCGCGCACCGGCCACGGGAGAAGCGCAGAGTAAAGTACTTACTTTTAACAAAGTTCGTAGACTGTAATAGACAATGCACTGACATAGATTTAATCATAAACCTTGTGAGTATAAATTTTATTTATGGTCAGCCTTTTGGTTACAGTGAATCAAAAACCCTGAATGCTCTGAGTAGGTTTCTCTGTGGGTGGTTACGAGAATTGTTCTCCACTTCTCCTTGAAATAGGATTACAACCTCATTTTTTACTTTTTTGGTAGTAAATCAACAGAATATCACAATACTCAAATCCAACACTTCCACAAAGAACACTGTATCAACCTTTTCACAACACAATACCCTAATGGCTTGTGTTGACTGGTCTGGTTCCTGCATAAGACATAAAGCTCCACAAGGTCAAGAGGACTGGGTCTTACCCACTGTGACACAGCACAGTACTTTCTGTGCAGAGGGCCTCGCTTACAGTAGGCCCTCAAATACCCAGTCACTGAGTAACTGTAATAGGAGAAGTTTAAATCATAAAGAATAGAAAGAAAAATCATTCCTGAGTATCGATAGGGTATGCTTTATGTCTTCTTAAATAATCCTTTGGGGAATGAAGTTAATATTCATTTTATCTCTGATGAGCTGCAAATTAAACTCTGAATGATTGCATGACCTCAAATCAGTAAGGAACTGCTGAGCATTGTGCAATGGATGGTATACTATGCTAAGTGCTCTGGGGGCACGGCAGCACATGGCATAGTTTAAGAGCTTCCTGTTTAACTGACCATAGAATATAAACAGGTAACAAGTCGTAGACAGCAGTAACCTTTTTTTTTTTTTTAAGCTAAAGGGAAGAGATGTTACTAAAACAATATGAGGAAAATAATGAATGAATAAGGACTCATTTTCTGAATCACGTAGCTGGTGATGCAGCCAGGAGAAACAAGAGGGAAGGGGGCGTGATCTTAGGCATGGCCACCAAAGGGCTGAAATCTGCTTTTTGGCAACTTCAGCTTCTGGCACTTGGGATGCTAGGTTTCTTAAGCAGCCACTGAGACACTCACAAGCTGACCTTCTCTGTAGAGTCCAGTGCTCCCAAACTAACTGCATCAGTCTCCACCTCCTGCTGTCCAACTCCCTTCCTTCAGGGACAGCAAACTCAATGAGCAGTTAGAAGCCACCAAACTATGCAAATTCCCTCTAAATGCTAACAGGGAGCCCCAACAAGCTCGGCAATTTAAGAAGAATGAGTTATACTCACCTCCACTGGTGCAAGACGAAGGATCCACAGCTAGCACAGATAATTTGTGCCCTCTCTCAGTAAGCATTTTTCCAAAGTATTCTATAAATGTTGATTTCCCAGCACCAGGAGGCCCAGACAATCCTACAGCGGAAAGAGAGCTTCTAATTTAATGAAACAAATGAAATCAGCATTATGATCACTTTTGAGTAAAATATTAGACTACCTTCTCTTTCCCCTCATTTATCAAAACCATCAGTTATATATATATGTATATATATATATTTGACAGGCAGAGTTAGACAGTGAGAGAGAGAGAGAGAGAGAGAGAGAGAAAGGTCTTCCTTTTTCCGTTGGTTCACCCCCCAAGTGGCCGCCACGGCCAGTGCGCTGCGGCCGGTGCGCTGCACCGATTCGAAGCCAGGAGCCAGGTGCTTCTTCCTGGTCTCCCATGGGGTGCAGGGCCCAAGCACTTGGGCCATCCTCCACTGCACTCCCAGGCCACAGCAGAGAGCTGGACTGGAAGAGGGACAACCGGGACAGAATCCAGCACCCCAACTGGGACTAGAACCTGGGGTGCCAGTGCCGCAGGTGGAGGATTAGCCAAGTGAGCTGCGGCACTGGCCTCACTAATATATTTTAATGTGTCCTAAAGCAGCAAATGGAAACCCATTTCTTCATCTAATTGCTGAGGAATGCAGATATAGGAAGAAAATAATTCGATTTTCATATGTTTACAAAATTCACTTTCAAAATTACAAAACATGCTTTGCCTTTCTACTGTAATGTGGATCTTTCTGAACAAACTCCATTGCTGGTGTTGTTAATGTGCTGAATTTCTGACATCTGCCAGCCTCTCATGATGATCAGTAATTATTCCACCTGCCCCAGTTCTGTCCACTTTATCTTCCTATTGGAAAAACGATTTAATTGCTCTGGAAATCCCCAATGATTGAGAAAGTAATTTTCTATTTATAAAGGATCATTTTTTCCTTCATCGCATTCATAACTCAAAGAATATCAGACCATCATCCAAACTGAATCCTGAAAACAATAATTTTGTGTTTAAAAATAGGCAGTAAAGTCCCCTACTTGGACAGTCAGTAGTACATGGACGCTAAGAGCGCAAACCCTGAAGCCAGTTAGCAGGTTCTCATGTGACCTCTGCCTCTCACAGGCTGGGTGACCTGGAGAAAGCTGTTTAACCTCTTTCTGTGCCTCAGCACCTTCTGCAACAGAACAGATGAGGCAATAGCACCTATATCTTCAAGGTGTTTTAAGAATGAGATGAATTAATAGCTGCAGTGTGTTTAGGACGGTGTGTGTTACACACTAGGGGGTCTTCAAAAAAGTTCATGGAAAACTCATACCATGAAAAATATTTTACATAGATTTCAAAGTTATTTTGTACTGAAATAAACTTACCTCTTAATTACAGTTTTCCACAAACCTTTGTAAATACCTTCCTGTAAGTGTAGGTTTAACAAAGTCTACAAAACATAGGCATCTAATTGCAAGTACCTTCAAAAGTCTGTATAGTATATGGTATGTCTGGCTTCTGACCATGATTCTCATTGCAGGTCTCTATCTTAAACACCTTTTTAGTGCTGACTAAACATTTGTAGCTCTTAATAGAGTGATAAAAATAGCTGCAGTAAAGACACTGCTCTGTCTGGCATCATACAATCGGGACAGAACAACAAGAATGGCACTGCAAAGTGATGTGTGAATTGCTAGTTTAACTCCAGACATTTCTAGAACATTTTCTCTTCACGGAAATTTTAACCCTGGTCAGTGGACCCTTCGTGGTAATCAGAACTCTTCTTTGGGTGTTTTCTGTTCCCTCTGTCTACAATGCACCACTGTAGTCCTCCCAAAGTGAGAGCCCCTCAGTAAGGACAGAATAAAAAGGGAGAAAAAAATATGGCTTGGTACAACTTCTACTTGTGACTTATTTTTGAAATCATCTTTAAAGCCTTTATATCTATTACCCTAAAAATTAAAAGTCCCTATATTACAATAAACTATCTAACATAACATCAGTCAATTTATAAATACATTTACTCACTCCCCCACAAAATGTCCACACTTGGACCACCAGTTCACATTGTCTTTAGCAGACGGGCTGTTTCAAATAACTCATGGGACACACTCATTCCATACAAGTGGCTCTGCTTAATCCCTGCTGGTCCAACATGTTTAAATCATTTCAAAATACACAATTTCAAAAGTATAACAGGCTGGTTTAAAATCACAGAACCAAGTCAAATTGTCTAAGATACTGAATGAATATCTAAGTACAAATAGCAAGTGAACAGGATCTCTCCTTTAAAATGTATTTTGGTTTTGAGAATGCCAGGTTAAGAGCTCCTCCCAGAAACTTGGTGTCTGAAAGAGGTGAGAACAAAGAATGAAACACAGGGGCTGGCGCTGTGGCATAGCGGGTTAAAGCCCTGGTCTGCAGTGGCCACATCCCATATGGGTACTCGCTCCAGTCTCTGCTGCTCCACTTCCAATCCAGCTCCATTAATGCACCTGGGAAGCAGTGGAGAATGGTCCGGGTCCTTGGACCCCTGCACCCGTGTGGGAGACCTAGAAGAAGCTCCTGGCTCCTGGCTTCAGATCAGCTCAGTTCCAGCTGCTGTGGCCATTTGAGGAGTGAACCAGTGGATGAAAAACCTTTCTCTCTGTCTTTACCTCTCTCTGTAACTCTGTCTTCCAAATAAATAAATCTTTAAAGAAAGAATGAAACACAGGGCCGGCGCTGTGGCACAGCGGGTTAACGCCTTAGCCTGAAGCGCCAGCATACCACATGGGCGCTAGTTCAAGACCTGGCCACTCCACTTCTGATCCAGCTCTCTGCTATGGCCTGGGAGAGCAGAGGAAGATAGCCCAAGTCCTTGGGCCCCTGGAGACCCAGAAGAAGCTCCTGGCTTTGGATCAGTGCTGCTCCAGCTGTTGTAGCCAATTGGAGAGTGAACCATCAGATGGAAGACCTCTCTCTCTCTCTGTAACTCTGACTTTCAAATAAATAAATCTTTAAAAAAAAAAAAAAAGAATGAAACACAAAGGAAGTAGAATTTGGAAACATGATAAGCATTAATTACAGTTGATATAACCAGAAAACAAGGAATTCACTTTACAGTATTAGACAGAAGGACTACTGAAGGAAAGGATTAAACTGGTCCATAGTTCTTCCTATACATATTTCTATTCTGGGAGCCATAGCAAGATCCTTGCAAAAATAGAAGCCTTGTATTTTCTCTTAAAATACAGAGCCTTGGTTCCAATAAATAGTCATAATTTTTCAGCATGACAAAAGTAGTATTTGCAAAAAACAAAGCATTTAAAATCCTTCCCAGATTCTGAAAAAAAGAGATGACAAATTAATTTTAAAAGACAGAATTTACAAAAATATTTACTGAACAAGAAAGACTGACCCACTCGAAATGCTAGTGGTTTTCCTTTATTTAACTGTTCTTGTTCTCTGTGATAGATTAACACTTTCTGAAGAAGCACCTGAGCCAGCTCCTTTTTCCTGCTGTGAGTTGATTCTATGAGAGTTATGGACTCTGCTAAGCAGGCCCTCTGCCCTTGGATTAAACCGGTATAAAGTTTATCCACCAATCTTTGTTCTTTATCAGAAAGTCCTTCTGTGGGGTCCTTCAAAGTTGTTTGTACAGATAATTTTCTCTGGAAGCCCTTTGACAGCAGCATCCACTTTGCACAATGGAGTCTAAGAGAATTAAGGGGTTGAGCACATGGGATTCCTGATCCGAGGTGAGTACTTGCGTGAAAGATGAAGCGGCAACGCTGAAAAGGTGTTCGGGAAAGGCCTCTTAGGAAATGCTGGTAAGGACGGGGTGGCAGCACGCAGATATTCATCTTGGTTGTCACTGAAAAAGACTGGGTGCTTTTTCACTCAGTGTGACTCGCACCCTCCCTTGAAGAAAGAAAAACATGTTTTTGTCAGTTAAAAATACAACTAAGGAAAACAAAATGCAGTATTTTCCACATATTCTAAAAGACATATAATCAGAGTTCTTGGCAGCACAAATGAGTAAAAGGTTTCTTACAAAACATAAAGAGAAAATATTCTCTTTGACCACACTTAATATTCAGTGTAACCCAAATCATGGAACTATTACTCAGCTGTAAAGTGGAATTTACATTAGAAATTTCTTATAAACAAAAACTAAATATACAAAACCCCATGTCAGTAGACATTTTACATCATGCTTTCATCTTCTTCATTTCCTCAGATCAATACACCTGAGTCTGAAGCTCACAGAAAAGACTGTTTGTAGGGGCTGAGGTTGGAGCACAGTGGGTTAAGCCACTGTCCATATGGCAGTGTCAACTGTTTTACGCCAAAGTAAACTTGTAATTCCATTTTCCTTGAGCTCTTTGAAGCATCTTCTATGTATACAATAGGCTCACCTTGAATGGCCCAGCCTAAGCACACAAACAAGAAGCCTCATAGGGAACTTGAGGGTCGCGCTGAACCAGATCAGTGTATCTCACCACCTGTGTGCTCACTAAAAATGCATATCCCCAGTCCCACTGACCAGAGTTCTGAGGCACCTCAGGCTTAGATGTAGATCCTACACTTGGATTTGCTGATATTCTCCACTTCAAACTCATCCCATAAGGAAAGCTGCCATTGTATGCTGGCTCCAGATAGGGCAGAGGTTGTGACCCACAGCTACTCTGAGTCGTCCCTAGTGAACTATTAGGACTTTGCTCAAGTTCCTTAGCCACTTTGTGCAACTTCCTCTACTGTGCTGAATATGTAGGAGAGCAGAGTGGAAACAAAATGACAAAACTTCTCTCCATTTAACCATCTCACTTCCCTTTCCCCAGTCTGGGTGACTGGGTGTTCTCTTGTGTGCAGAATTCTGTCACATCCTTCTTACAGATGCCCTACCCTCAATAAAACCTTTCTACTTTGCTTCCTACTTCTAGAAAACAAACAAACCAACCATGCCTGGAACAGTACCTAGCACTCAGTAAGAGCTCAATTAACATTAGCTTTTGCTATCATAGCAACTGGGAAAAAATTGGCAATAATTAGGTCAAGACCCAACTTCCAGTGGCAAGCTAAGGTTTACAGACAAACACTCTGCCTACTGTGGGTTTATGATTATTTATAAATGTTTGGTTTTCAAGTACCTCACATCAAAATGAAACAAGTGATTTAATGCTCCAACATGCTCTCCAAACAATACTTCAAAGCCAATGAACATGAAATTAACTTTATCTTAGTAACATATTAAGGGAAAAGAAGAAATGGTTTACTTTTTTAAAAAACTGGTAGAACTGTAACTGTATATCAGTGTTCCAAAGACAGTAACTCTTTTTCCATTTTGAGGGAAGCTTGGAACTTCCATTTGTTCAAAATTAGCCTTATTCTAAAAGGGCAATTTATTAAAAAGTGTAAATTTTTTCCTAAAAGACAACTTTAAAAACACCCTCAAGTATCCTTCACAAACACACACAAAAACATATTTAAAGAAAAAAAAATCTAAGAAGGGATCTACTTAGGAAGTCCTCTTTCAATACCATTGGTAGGCATGACTTTTATCAACCCCACAACCACTGTAACTGGAACAGAAGCTAAGCAAGAACTGTATTTTTATTCAACTACTATTCTAGCACATACTACTCTCTCCAGGTCCCAGACAGGTGACAAGAGTAACAGTGATATAATACTGGTATTGATAGTGGTAACAAAGGCATTTGGTTATGTCCCAGGCACTGTAGCATACTTTATGAGGAGTCCCCAGGGCTACTGTAACAGACTGCCATCACTACTGTATGGAATTAGCCACTTAATTACACTGAAAAGACTCTTTCCTACAGGGTCATTTTCATAGTTCCAGGGATTAGGATGCAGACATGTATTTTGGCAGGCCTATGACTGAACCCAATATAGCTGCTTCAGTGGAGGTCATTATCTTATCTTACATTATATAATCCCATAACTTCAAGAACTCACAGAATATGCCATGAACAAAGAAAGAACAAAGTGTGCTAAGAACAGACAGAATTACAGAGACTAACTCTACTGGGTGAAGGGGGATTAAAATCATGGAGGAGTCAATGCAAGGGCTGAGAATGAAAGAATAAAACAGTTGAAGAATGAGGCAACTTTTCATGAGGACTTGAAAGGCAAAATCAGAATTGGGAGTTGATCTCTTCCCTGCCGACTGAGAAATTCAGTGAGGCAGAAGCCTAGACAGAATGGAACCAGTGAAAGGACATGAGGTTGGACCAGCATGTAAACAGAACAAGGAACTGGATGTTCTTTGTTGGCTGTGGACAAACCAGAGACCTTTATGGAAGTGACACAACCAACTCTGCTTTTTCTGTGATGACTCTAGTAGTAGTGACAAGTCAAGAGTGAGGAGACTCTGGTAACAAAGAGCCAGTTCAGGAAACCCTAGCAAGGACCCAAAGGAGATGATGAGGACCTGTGCACTGGCAAGGGGTTAAGGGATGGAAAAGAGAAGACAGATTCAAAACCCTTTTCTCCATATCAGGCTCCTCAAAGCTTGACAGGGATCTGGCATACTACAATTACTTCAAAAAAAAATTTTGTTTTATTAGGAAGCTGCTGATGTAAACTTATTTCATTCTTCACCTGTCTGACACTTCAGCATTTGTAAACTGTTTTTTTTTTAAAGTTTTTTTTCTTTTTTTAATATTTATTTATTTGAAATTCAGTAGAAGATGGCCCAAGTCCTTGGGCCCCTGCACCTGCGTGGGAGACCCAGAGGAAGCTCTTGGCTCCTGGCTTCGGATCCACACAGCTCTGGCCGTTGTGGCCATTTGGGGAGTGAACCAGAGGATAGAAGATCTCTCTCTTCCTCTCTATGCCTGTCTTCCAAATAAGTAATCTTAAAAAAAAAATCTTTATAGATGGGATGACATGGCTTCCTAAACTCGTTCGGACATTTAAATCCCAATGTCATGTTTTAACAGTTAATAGACAAAACACGAATGGTTGATAGATTAAGGTGACGTCTTGGTTGAAACAATGACCTAAAGGTCTTAAGTCACTGAGGGCTTACCCGCTGCAGGTAGTTCCTGACAGAGGGTTGGTTATGAGGGGCAATACAGCCTTGCTTCCTGACTCACCATGTTGTGACTGTTCCTCCACATGTGCTCCACCACGGTCAGCCTCCAGCAGGTGCCAGTTCAGTGGGGCCCCTGGATCCTGACTGTGAACCTCCAAACTGTAAACCAAAGTAAACCTTTTCCTTCCTGAGACACTGCTCTCGGCTATTTGTTACAGTAATGGAAACCTAATACACCATCTATTTGCTCTAATTAAAAGTGCGGTATCTGAGTATCTACCATCCACCTTCTAGCCTGACAAATGCCTACTCAGTTCCAATAACACCTACGTGGAGATGCACGTGCCCTTGGCTTTTCCAGCCGGTTAATATCCTATTCAGAGCTTCGCCGTCTTCTGTTGACATTTCAGGTATCTGTCTTGTGTTCTAACTTATCTATTAGCTGCCCTCTCTTCAATATTCAGCCTCAGCTGAGATGACGATCCTCCCACAGAAAGGGTAATCTTATTCGTTATTTCTGCAGAATCCAGCAGTGTCTGGTACATGGTAACCTCTCAACAATTGTATGTTCATGAGTGGTTAGTCCATCTACGTATGCTGATCTAATACACCATAACAAAAATCTGAATAACATCCTTCACCTGAGTGATCTCAGAATCTTCACTAAAAACATTCTGCTGTTGGGATTCAGCAGGTTAAGCCGCTGCCTGCAATGCTAGCATCCTATGAGTGCTCACTTCCAACCCGGCTGCCTGATAATGCCCCTGGGAAGGCAGTGGAATATGGCACAAGTAACCAACTCTGCTTTTTCTGTGATGACTCTAGTAGTAGTGACAAGCCAAGAGTGAGGAGACTCTGGTAACAAAGAGCCAGTTCAGGAAACCCTAGCAAGGACCCAAAGGAGATGATGAGGACCTGTGCACTGGCAAGGGGTTAAGGGATGGAAAAGAGAAGACAGATTCAAAACCCTTTTCCCCATATCAAGCTCCTCAAAGCTTGACAGGGATCTGGCACACTACAATTGCTTCAAAAATTTTTTTATGGGTCCCTGTATCCACGTGGGAGACCTGGAAGAAACTCCTGGCTCCGGCCTGGCCTGGCCCAGCCCCAGCCCCAGCCATTGCAGTCACTGGGGTGTGAACCAGCAGATGGAAAACCTCTCTCAATCTCTTTCAAATAAATAAAATCTTAAAAAAAAAATAATAATGAAAGTGGTATAGACGACCTCAACATTCAAAATAGTGGTTTCTTAGAACTTAATTGCCATCTTCGTCAGAAAATCCGTGTCAACTATTTGGCAAACTTATGGTTTACACTGCAGGCTTTATCTCAATTTAGGATTTGTGAGATTCTTGGCCTTCTGATGCTAACACAAATCTAAACCTTAAAAGGTCTTTACAAAAATAAAAAGATAAAGGATGGTACCATTTTATCCCCTTCCCTCCATGCTGAGGCTAAAACACTCTTCAGATGTATGTAATTCTAGGTTTCCACACCTTCAAACCTCTCCCTGAAGGCTGACTTCCTGGGTGCCGCCCACCCCCACCCCCCCCAGCAGGTGAATGGTACTGCAGCAGCTGCTCTCTTTTGCTGAGTGTTCATTGTAGTTGAGGTAAATAAAGTGCATGTGCTTCCTCAGCCAGTGCTCACAACAGTTCCATGGTGCAGGCTACCCTTCCTGACAGACCAGGGGGCTCAGCGAGGTCAGGTTTATTGACCACTGCCTCACAACACATGGGAGAACTTGTGGGAAAACTATGGATTTCATAAATCTATACCTATACTCTAGAGAAAACAGAATCCTTTACAATTGAACATTGGCACGATACGGCTTGTTCATCCATTTTTAATTTTTTTTTTTTTGCTTAGGTCTAAATGAAAAATCAGTTTCTAGTTCCTCTGCAAACTTTATCAGTAGGATATCCCAATATCGTTTTAGGTGATAGAACAGACCAAATACTAAAACATTTTCAAATGTGCTTCACTCCACAAAAGAATTCAGTCTGATATATAAGTTCCTAACATACTTAAATCTCATTAATTTGTCCAACTGAGCAAACCTTATTTGAGAGACAGAGAGAGAGAGAGAGCGCTCCCACCCACTGTTTCACTTCCCAAATGTTGGGAGCCAAGAATGCAACCTGGGTCTCCCATATGGGTTATAGGAACCTAATTACTTGAGCCATCATTGCTATCTTCCAGGGTTTGCAATGCAGGAAGCTGGAGCCAGGAGCTGCAGCTAGAAAAGAAAACCAAGCAGTCTGATATGGGACACAGGTGTCTTAATCAGTGAGCTAAATACTCCTTTTAAAGAAGCTCATACCCTTCCTAAAAAACAATACAACTCAGCCTTATGAGCAACTTTCTATCTTAGACTCATGTCACAGGCAGAACAGAGTAAGTATATTAGGAGGGCAAAGTCATGTAGGAAAGGAGAGAGATGTCCCACCTGCTCATGTAACTAAGCATCCTTTCCTGTTTTTGTTTTTTTTTTTTTTTTTTTTTTTTTTTTTTACAGAAAGAAATCGAAGAACTTGGTCAATAATCAAATCAAACTGTTTCAACTAATGGTCATAACTGCTAAAAGGATACATTTTATCCTATAATTTGTAAGCTAAGCACTATCACATCCCAAGAGAAATGCATTTATAGCATTCAGAAAAATGACTCAAAGCACTTCCATGCCTACTAGACTATAAAGTGAAAAATACCAAGTAGAAGTAACACCAAAACAGGTTGGTGAGTGCATTCCCTCCCCTCGAAGAAGGCTCACAATAGGCAGTGGCATTTTAAGATTCACATTTGTTCTCCTCAAAAACAGCTTTCATCTCCATTCTTTCTCTCCACCCTCACTTCCATGTTTTTCTACCACAATGAGTTTCTATCTTTGACTGCATCCTACATAAAGCAATATACTTTCATCAGTGAACACACACATGTAACTGAAACAAAAGGTTCATAAAACAGGACTCAGCCCTAGATGCTGTAATAGTTTTCTAATTCTGCCCCCTCTACGTCCAGCCCTCTTCTGTGAGAAATACTGTTTTTCATGTCAATTGCAATTCACCAACGGGCACACTCCCAATCTACTACTGTCACCCCTGGGCTCCACGTTAATCTATCTTCCACACTACCGGTACTACTTCACTGCTGAAAACACTGAAAAGCTTCCTTGTGCCTTTTCTGTGTGAAGTCTTCTCTGGGATTCGGCCATTCACTCATCATGCTTACTGAGAAGCTCCTACACCACATGCTAGGCCTTAGAACACTCTGTTACGCATCAGGCATGAACTCTGGATACCACGAAGGTTTCAATCCAAGACAGTTATTACAGAGTACTGAAGGCTCGTCATGACTGCATTCCTCTCCTCTGACCACACTGCCTGTGACCATTCTGACCTGCACATGTGTCCTGGGAAAAGCTATCCCCTTTTACACATGCCGGCCATGGTCCATGACGTTCCTTGGGATTAGAATGTCCTTCTCTCCTTTAATCGCCTCGCAAATGCCTGCTCAGCCTTCAAGAACCACCTCAAGAGTCCCCTCTCTGCAGACTTCCTGGGCCTTCTTCCCTCAGCCCGTTTGTCGTCACGATCTCTCACCCTTAGTGTCACGTGTGGCCACATCCCTCGTGCTCACCACTCTGCTGTGGTGGCTTTGTAAGAGAATGGTCTTCCCTAGACTGTGAGTTACCTTTGTGTCTATGGATAGCACAGCTTACTGCTCATGGAATAAATGAGTAAATGCTGTAAGTCTGCGCAGGTCAATACTTCCATTACACTGATAACTCAGTTACTCGATGTTTTGAAAACACGTATTTTTCTAGATTTTACAGTAAATACACATTTATTTCAAGAACTTTCTCTTTAAAGTCTGATTTCAATGTATGAATGTTTTCGTTCATTAAAAATTTGCTCAGCAGCAGCCAGTCTGACTTGGGGTATTTGTCTTGAAATCGATCCAATGAATATTCTCAATTTCAATAACTACTCTGGCAAGAAAAAGCACACAGGATTTCCAAGATCAATACATTAGGTCAGGGTCTGCTGCGCAGCACAATTCATACAGGCGAGGCAGTGTTACACCATGTGGTTCCACTTCCCAATGCTAATCACTTTTGATTGGAAGATAAGCTGTCAGAGGCCATTAATCTGTTTACCATCGCCCACCATCCCCACAGAAGGCTTTACTCTCTCCTTTTCAAATAATTTCAGGAAATTTTTACAGTGTAGAATGACTTTTAAATAAGCAACTTCTAAATAGGTTTTCAAGAGGTCATTGTTATGTAAGAGTAATACAGAACACATACTGAATTCATGCAGGGGAGTCTAAAGTTCTCTGTCCACATGACCTTTCATCATTATCCCAGCAAGACTCAGATTTCCAAATTTCAACTTTTAGGTTTCATTTTGCTTGGGAAGTCTCTATTTTTCTAAATTCCATCACCACTAAATGTTTTCATTCATTTCCACTGCTTCCACCCGGGTTAAAATCAGCTTAGTCTTAGGGGACTCTGAGACCAGCTATGATACTTGGGCAATCTTTCATACTCTCCCAGTGTTTTCATCTGCAAAATGAAAACACTCAGACTTACATCTCAGGGTAACTGTGAGTATAAAGTGATGGTGTGCATGAAAGATCTCAGCAGAAGCGCTGGCTTTAGATGGTACTAAGTAACTCTAAGGAGACTTCCTTTTTTCTGTCTCCCTTCCCATCCTCCCTCTGAGACTTCACAGCAAGACTCTTCTTGAAATGGGGTCTCCTTACCCTCCCCAAATTCCTCCCAGAGTTCCCCAAACTGTAGGAGAGTAGCTCTCCAAGTGTGAGCCACAGACCAGCAGCACCTGAGAACTGAAGAGGCAGGGAAACCATTTAAGCCCCACCCCCACCCCCTGAATCAGAAAGTCTGCAAGTCGGGCCCAGCAGTTTTCAGAAGTACTCTGCCTAAATCTGACATATGCTAAAGTGTGAGAGGCACTGCCTTGGGAATAAAGTCCAGTTTTCTTTATCGGGCATTATTGTTTTCCCCCAATGTTCTCCCACTTCTTTCTTATACTCAGCTTTCCATACTTCCTCTCTGGGATTTCAGTAGATTATCTTCCAACCTGCCGCTTACCCTCCTAACTCAAGAGAACATCCTCACTTATCATTCCCTTTCCTTCCCATAACACTCCAATCCTACCCAGTGTAAACTCCATCCTTTTCTTAAATTCTTTCCTGATGATCCCAGGCTCCAGGACTGCTTTTCCCATGGAATTCCAATTATTTCTAAATTCTGACTTGGGTGGAAATCTGCAGAGGCTGCAAACTAGTTGTAGCTGGCTCACAGGAGGTGTGTGTTAACTGAACCGATTGCCAATAGCATTAAACAATCCAGAAAAATCACACAACATAGATTTTTAGCCTGTGTTGAAGACAGTCAGAAATCTTTGGATGAGGGACCCACATTCCCACTTGGCAACAATGAGCTGAGTGGCAAGACTCAAGCACCAGTTCTTTCACGCCAAACATGCAGGTTTTCTTTGGACACCTTCAAATTCGCCAGACTTTATTTACATTTCCTAGGGTTATGTCAGTTTTCAGTTCTGTCTCTCCTGTTAGAACAAAGCCTTTAAAAGAGGCTGTCTTTATTTTCTCTAATTCTTATCATCTTGAACACAAAATATAGTTCACTGTGTTAACAGAAAAATCTGGACACTGTCGATGACCCCAAAATGTTTAACAATTTGCACAATTCTTCTAGAAACTTTGGATTTCTACCGATTTGGAACGTTCACTAGTCTGCTTTTCAAGATATATGAGGACACAACTCTTAAGAAAGGTAATTAAATTTTTATCCTGTTATTTTGGCTTAGCATTTATCATTTTTTAATGAAAGACACAGCAGAGACCTAGCCCCTGCCAGGGCACCGTTTGCGACTTCCAGTTTGAACTCTACTTTAACATTCTGGATTTATTCTCCCCGCAAAATGCGTTTTGGCTTCACCCTTTGGAAGCATCCACACCGGAATACCGGGCCTTTCTCCCCGCCACCCGGATTTAGCTTAACCATTCTCCAGGCTTGGCCGCGACGACGGAGCCGACCTTGCCAAAGCAGCACAGAGGCAAGCTCACAAGCCGGCCTAAAACGCTGACAATTTAAAAACATTGCTTTTTCTAAGGTAACAACCCTTCCCTGCCCTTCCATCTGCTGACGCCAGCCAACCCCTAACACACGCCCCACTCCCAATACCATCCAACCTAGTAATCTTCTTTCCTTCCCCCACCCTGGGTCCTCCAGGGGGCGCCCCCGACGCCACGGACGGCCCCCAGGCAATCAGACTCGGGCGGGAGCCGGGTCCAGACTCCCGGCGCCGCGCGCATCCACCCCATACTCACCCGCCCGAACCGCGGAAGTGCCGCCTAGCCCCTCCCCTTCCGCCCGGCCCGTCCCGCCCCGCGCTCGCGGCGACGCGCAGGCGCAGCGCCGACGGCCGGCGCGTGGGGCCCAGCGAGCGGCCGGGGGCCGGGCGTCGGCGTGGGGCGTGGCCAAGGTCCCCGCGGACGTGGCCGCGGAACTCCGGAACGTGCCGCTGGGGGCGTGACCAGGAAGGCTCCGGGAAGTTCTAGGCGAAGCCCACGGGGCGCGGGGGGCGGGGCGGGGCGCGGAGAGGCGCTGCTGAGGCAGGACGAGATCGAATCTTAGCGATAGACGCTCTTGGGGCTGGCTGCGGCTCCTCGCGATCTCGGCGAGCCGGTTCCCCGTCTTCCGCTCCCGGAACCCTAGCACGCGAGGCGGTGGGCGAGCCGCATCATTGATTGACAAACTGGTGAGATGACAGAGGCTGCGCCTCCGCAAGTCGGTGGGCCGCCTGTGCGAATAAATGCTCAACGTGCAGCCGACGCACAGTTGTAACTTTCAACAGCGCGGCGTGGTTTGGAACGGCTGCGGGACCCCTGGGGTATTTTTTTTCCCTTACGAGCCGTCCGTTGCTGTCGGCTCATTCCTTAGCGTGCACGGAAAGCACGCCGGCCGGCTGCCCTCGCTGAAGTGGGGACGGAAGCGAACACGCCGAGCGCCTGCCACCTCACGGCGGGGCGGAGAGTGACCGAGGTCCGAAGATCCCGTGGGACGACGTCGGCAGGGAGCCCTTGGGTGCTGTTCCGGCATTTTCAGGGCCAGCTTGGGCTCCCGGGGTGTGCTGGCACGTGCTGAAGACAACTTCCACAGGCGAAAACGGGGGTCGAATTCGAAATAGCGGAATCGGCCCTAAGCGGGGGCTGTCGCATAACTGGGGTCTGAGACGGAGACCTCCGTCGTCCTCAGATGAGATTTTGCATAATTGCATGCGTCCGAGAGGGTGTGGGCCTTCTCATCTGTCTGTTACAGGATGATTCTTACTGGATGTGGGATGGTACAAAATGAAGGATTTATTTGCCTTAGCATCCTTGTCATTGGATTACAGGACTATCACTTTGGTCCCCACACAGGCCCACGTAGACCAAAGACTGTGGCCAGTTAGAGGAAATTAAAACAGATGTCTCAATGAAGCAGAGTGATCTAAAAATCTCAATCTGTATTACTGCAGGAAATGAAGAAGTTCATTCAATTTTTAATCTTTACCTGTTTTTATGCTACAAACCCTAAAGCACTTTAGAACTGTAATAAGTTGAGAAGTGACCTTGTTTTTTAAAAATGTGAATGTCAGACAGAGACGGATCCCCCATTCTCTGATTCACTCCCCAAATGCCCACAACAGCCAGGGCTGGCCCAGGCTAGAGCCTGGAAGTGGGAACTCAATCCTGGTCTCCCATTTGGGTGGCAGGGACCCTAGTACTTGAACCATCACCTGCTGCCTCTGGAGGTATGGCTTAGGAGGAAACGTGGGATTGGGAGCAGAGCCAGGCCTCTAACCCAGGTGTGAATCAGTGTGCCAACCGCCTGCTGCAGAAATGGCCATGTTCTTAAAGACATGATAATGAGTTAGCACACGGAGGCCCATTTTTCCAAAGTGATGTTAATATATATGTGTGTGAACAACATTAGGGAATTCTTGGGCTTGGCGTTTTAGCTTAGCCGGTAAAGCCGCCACCTGCGATGGATGCAGGCATCCCTTGTGCACCCCAGTTCATGTTCTGGCTGCTCCACTTCTCACCCAGCTCCCTGCTGGTAGCCTAGGAAAAGCAGCAGCAGATGGCCCAAGAGTTTGGGCCCCTGCCACCCACATGGGAGACCCAGATGACGCTCCTGGTTCCTGTGGCCATCTGAGAAGTGAACTAGCAGATACAAGATTCTCTCTAACACTGACTTTCAATAAATGCATCTTTTTTTTTAAAAAAAAAATTTGTACTCTGTCAATAAGTTTAAGTTTTTTCAATGTTCATTTATTTCAACAAACATGTTTTGAGCTGCTACTGTGTGTCAGGCATGATACAGGTTCCAGGACCCACTGCCAGTACCATAATCCACAGGTGCTTAAGTCCCTTATAGAAAATGAAATACTATTTGCATATAACCTATGCACAGCATCCTTTAAATCACCACTAAATTACTTCTAATATCTAATCTAGTGTCAGTACTATGTAAATAGTAGCTATACTATATTGTTTTGGGACAAATAATAGGAGGAAAAACTCAGTACATGTTCAGTACAGGCAACATTTAAAAAATATTTTTGACCCACAGTTGGTTGAATATACAAATGCAGAACCTGCAGATACAGAGGGCCAACCTGTATTAGATTCTGGCACTACAGCTGTCATCACTACAGGTACAAAGTCCCTGCCCACACAGAGCTTACAACTGGGGAGCAGGACAGGCAGAGACAGCAAACATGCAAATACACATCGATTGATAATAAAATAAGTGCTGCGTAGCACAATAAACTAGAAATTAAGGGTTAGGCCATCCCAGCTAAGGGTGAGCATGTTCTGTTTTATAAAATGTAAACAAAGAAGTCCTTGCTGGGGATGTGACATTTGAGCAGAGACCTAAAGAAAGTGAGGGAGTAAATTGTGACTAAGGAAAGCACAGACCAGAAGGAGGGCCCGCTCCGAGGCTTGGAGGGGAGAGCATGGTTAGCATTGCAAGGAGACCACAGCGGATGCTAGGGAGCTGCAGGGGGAGTCATAGGAGATCAGAGAGGTAGCCCAGGGCGAGATGATGTTTTCTGCTTTTAAGTGTGTTTAGCTTCCTCTCTCCAGAGAGTTATCAGTCAGAGGCACTTGCTGTGATGCTAGCAAGGAATAACTGATGTTATTTTTATATTTGTTTTCTATTGCCACAGACTTAGTTGTTTAAAAGAGCTCAGATGCGGATCACTGGGCTAACACCACGAGTTCATTTATTTCATGCTAGAGAGGAGGAGAATTTTCTAGCTTTTGAAGGCTACTGACATTCCTTGGTTTGTAGCCCCCATCCTGCATCTGCAAAGATAGTAGCATCAGCGCAAGTTGTCAATTTTCTTTTTTTTTTAATATTTATTTTATTTATTTGAGAAGCAGAGTTACAGAGAGAAGGAGAAACAGAGACAGAGATTGTTCCATGTGTTGATTCATTTCCCAAATGGCTGCAACAGCTGAGGCTGGGCCAGGCCGAAGCCAAGAGCCTGGAACACCATCTGGGTCTCCCATGTGGGTGCAGGGGGCCCAAGTACTTGGGCCAACCTCTGCTGCTTTTCCAGGTGCATAAACAGGGAGCTGCATTAGGAATGAATATGAGAGGCCAGCATTGCAGGCAGCAGCTTAACCCACTGTGCCATGACGTTGACCCCAATAATTCTCTACTTTTTTTTTTTTTTTAAGATTCATTAATTTACTTGAAAGAGCTACACAGAGAGAGAAGGAGAGGCAAAGAGAGAGACAAGTCTTCCACCCGCTGGTTTGCTTCTCAAATGACCTCAACTGCTGGAACTGGGCTGATCCAAAGCCAGGAGCTTTTTCCAGATCTTCCACGTGGATGCAGGGCCCCAAAGACTTGGGTCATCTTCCATTGCTTCCCCAGGTCACAGCAGAGAGCTGGATTGGAAGCGGAGCAGCTGGGCCTTGAACCAGCACCCGTATGGGATGCCAGTACTGCAGGTGGTAGCTTTACCTGCTATGCCACAGCACCAGCCCTGAAAGCTCTCCGCTTTTAAGGATTAAGTTGGATCCACTCAAATTATTCAGGACAATCTCCCCTCAATGTTCTTATCCTTAAACACATCTGCAAAGTTCTTTTTTCCCTGGTAAGGTAACACAATCACAGGTTCTGGTGGTTAGGGCTTGAGGGGAGGGGTGAGGATTATTCTGATGACCACAGTTCACCCTCTGGCCCCCAGAGACTCAGGTCTGTTCACTTGCAAAATCCAGTCACCTCATCCCAAGGACCCTATGCTTCATCCCAAGGATCTCATCCAAATCTTGAACATCCCAAAGGAAATCATCTAGATTAGGTGTGGGTGAGGCGCCGAGCATGATCCAGGCTGGGGCACAGTTCCTGTCCATCTGTGGCTCTGCGAATGTGGGAGAGAAGTTCTCTGCTCCCCAACCACAGTGGCAGAGCAGGCCCCTCGCACGGAAAAAGGGAGAACATGGAAGGACAAAAGGAATCCCCAGTCCCAAAACATTCTGCAGTCCCCTTTTAATTTCAGGGCCCAGGAGTGATCCTCTCTGCTTCTTGGTTGTGCTCTCTGGGCTCACTGCACCACGATCTGCGGGCTGGGAATTACAGCATGGATGTCTAAGAAGGAACGCTACCTTGTCATTATCACTTTCATTAGGCTCACTCTTATTTCCTACTTCGTGCGCTAGGGGCTCTTTAGAGTCTCCCCCCAGTCAAGTGGTTCATTACCTTTGCTTATCTTTAAGTCCACCATCTTCAGGAACTTTCTTATTAATGTGCCATCTGGTTTCTACTGGATGGGAAAGAAGGCATTCTTCCTTGACAGATACACATCAGATTTTTTCTTTTTGCAGTTCCTTTATTTTAAAATGCTTGATTTCTTGCAGGCCCAAAGATCCCTGTGTGATTGTGTGGGGTAGGGCAAACTTCTAGAACTTCTCATTTGCTAATTCTTCACCCTGAAGGACACTGGAAACCCATGTCTGCCTCCCAGCAGGTGGCAGCAAATCAATACTGCACAAGGAACGGCAAACCTCACAATGTTTTTGTCTGGGAAAATGTTGCAGACATTGCAGATGGGCTTTTCTTCGTTAAAAGAATAATAACAACAAAAAATACTTCTTGCCAGATTGTGGGATTTGTGTCAGTTTATCAACTAGAAGGTACAGTGTAATTTACCAACTAAATGCCATTGTGTATTTTGCAGATCTCTCACACACAGAAGCCGAGGTCGATTCATGAGCCATTATTCTAGAGTGACACTCAGGAATGCTCACCTGTATCTCCAGAAGCACGCTCTCCATAGCCATTCATTGATCATTTTTTAAAATCAGCACAACATTTAAAATTTTACGGAAGGGCCCAAAAATGTCATGACACAGCTGGCTAAACTGCTCAATGTTAGATTCCCAATCCTGGTGCCAATTCAAGTCCTGGCTACTCTACCT